ACTTGCCGAACATTTTCGATCCCTGTACCCACGATTAAAGGACGAAATTCTATGGACTCTACTTCAAACTGTATCTACAAATTCACCTGCAGCTGCGGTGACACCTATGTAGGTAGAACCAATAGAATGCTCCAATGTCGTGGTCGAAAAGAACATGTTCCTAAATGGTTACTAAATCATATAGAAAATTCCAATGCTAGTAATCTGAATAGAAATCCAGCATCACCCATCGCAAAACACTTATTAATGTCAGGTCACAAAATCAATCAATATTAATGACTGTTTCACAATTATTTCATCACATAACTCTAATTCAAGGTTGGTTATTGAAGGTGATGGAAGCCCTTTGGATTAATCACATACAGCCTAAACTGTGTGTACAAAAACAACACAATAGACTTCAATCTTCGCCTACCATGGACTACTTGACCTATTTAAATATGATTGGTCATTAGTATGTACTTTTGTTTTTTATATAACTGAGTAATTGCCATTAACTACTATTATGAGTCACAATCGATTTGATATATGAATGAATAACTAAATAAACGAAAACAATTTTTACTGTCTCTTCCGTCATCATAGTCTTGTTTTATTGACAATGTACTAACTGGATGCAATACTGTAGTAAAAATGCTGAGAATTCCACTCTGTATCACAAGTACTGTTTTGGAATAAAGCAAATTATTATTATTATTATTATTATTATTATTTTACCACGTAATACACATAAAAGTTTTGTTTATCTCTCTGAATTCCATGTTCTATTTTTGTTTTTATTTTTTACTTTCAGTTTATGTACTCACATTCTAACATTTTATCAAGGCTACTGTGTTGACAACATTTCACTCATCCTATGTCCTATATCATATTATATTCACATATTCACATTTCCGAATGTACTTTGTTTTCGATCATCTATTTCACATTTGTCTATTGAACTTTAAGTTGATCTCTGTTTAAAAGTCGATCGTAAGGAAGAATATTCTTTTTATATATGTCCAAAGCAAGTTCACTTTTAACGGTTTGAAAAAATTTGGACATTGGGTATATGATATTCATTGTAATAAAGGATTTGTTTGTATTTCCCAATGAATGAAAAACAAAACGATATTGTTGCTCTTACTGACGTTTCGCTATTTAATACTGCTGCTAATAGCTTTATCAAAGTATTATTAAACCGGAATTTACAAAATCTCAGCATATATATAACAAGGAGTTAAGGGGTGAGTAAATAGGCTTAGGTCAAGTTAAAAGGACATATTGAAAGTCACCAAACCAAGTAACAAAGGTAACAGTACATCTGTTATGGTATCAAAACATAGTTTACTAACTTGATCATCGTTTGTTAGTCTGGGGTCATTTTTCGTTGTCAAGTTGGTCATTTGGTAAAGATAACAAAATCAAAATGAAGTGTGGATTGTTGGATTCGATCAGTGTTTAAAATTATAGAGGCAGTGTGTGTTTACATAGTGAACTTGCATATCACATTCGTGTTGATTTTGTCACTTCATGGGGGAGAGGAGGGAGGTGTTGTAACCAGGTGAGATTCTGTTTTAGTCCATCATTCCTATTCAGTTCATACAGTTTGGATTCCACTTGATATGAAGTGCTTCTGATGATATTAGACGTTCTTTGTGATTTCTGAAATGCATTTTCTGGATTATTTCAATATTGTCAAAATCAATTTTGTGGCCTGATTCTATAGCGTGTAGACCTATGGGTGGCTGATGATTTTTCAAGTTTTTCTAGTTCAGCTGGATTTCTCTGTGGTCGAAAAGATGCTCTGCAGTTTTCATTTCTTCTGATTTTGATTTCTCTCTGGCGATGTTTGTCCGATGTATATCGCATCACATTCCAAGCAAGCATTTTATTTTATAGACACAATTAGATGGAGAATCTTTAGGGATTTGGTGTTTTATATGGACAAGGTTGCTTTGAATTGTGTCTGATGTTTTGAAGAAAACGCTAATGTCGAGCTGATAGAGTACTCTTTTGATATCATCTGACGTCTCTGCTCTCTATGGAATGACTACTGTTGATGTCCATGTTTTCGGAATGCGTTTTCGGTCATATTTATAATCTTTTCAATAATTTCCCCTCTTCAAGTTCTTACAATTTTAAGATATAATATGTGTTGGCGTTACAATAATTATCACTTATATTCGGTGGATGCATTTCTACGTAGAATAACAGATTGATAGTCATTAGGGTGACGAAATAAATAGTCGTATTTATGTGACAAACGTTTTAGTGTTAGGCTGAAATCAATTAGAAAATATTGTGAGATGAGAGGAGCAATGCTGGTCATAATGGTCATAATAGATTCATAGAATGTAGGGTAGGAAAAATTGACAAGTCAGTTCAAGGTTATAAAAGGTGTCAGGTGAGTGAGTGGCTAGTACAAAGTGGTATTTATTGAAGAGGAGATAGTAAGACTGCAATTCGAGGTTTATCATGAAATAACCAATGTGCGTCGGTGGCACAGTGGTTAGGACTCTCACCGACCATGCACATGGTCCGGGGTTCGATCCCCTGCCGGCGCACACCCGATATCTATGGTCGGCCTGAATTTGGGCTACCGATATCCATGCTGAAAATTCCACACTTGTACTGAAAATACGGTGTGGAATCAAGCTATAAATCAAAATAAAAATGAAATGAAACAAGTGGAGACATATATTGAGAAAAGAGATAATTTCACTAATAATAATTCCGGATAGTATAAATGGAAAACTCGATAGTATTGAGAGAAAACAAGAGGGTTAAGGGGAAGAGGCACTCTTGGTGAGAAGAAGAATCATTAATCCAAGTTTAACCACGGTAGGAACAGCGCATGGATACAAAGTCCCTGTTTAGTCGATATTGTTACAACAGCTTCAGCTGTGTGTAGGAGACATCAGTGAACTGTACATGATAACGACTTCGTAATTCGGTATATAACCAACCCTGAAGGCTGTGTTGTAGCGTCGATGAGATGTTCAGTATCGACCTAGTGTGCTGAACCAAGCTGGCAAATGTTCTCGAACCCGCAGACAAACCTGCCTAGTCGTGCACCCCATATATAACTTGAACCACAGGAACAGTTGAATTGGTATATGCATGAAGAAGAGCAAAGGTTAGATAAGTTGTCTTTCAGTTGCTGGTTGAACATTGGACGACGGCTGGCTACTGAAGGATAGGAATAGATGTGGCAGAGTAGAAAGCTTTCTTTATCGCCTCTATTTATTTAGTTATTCATTCATATATCTAATCAGTTGTGATTCATGGTCCTATTATTATTATTGTTCCCTTGGGTTCCTAGTGGAACATAAGACTTCAACTGCACGTCTCCACTTGCTGCTGTCTTCTGCTGTACTTTCGCCGTCATCCATGTTATTCCATACTGTTTCAAATCCTCTTCACACGATCTCCTCCATGTCACTCTTGCACTGACGACCAACTCGCCGCTTCCCTTTCGGGTTCCACTCGAGCTATGGCCTGACTGACGCGCGATGTCACCCACCCAGTGGCCTCCTCAGCAAGTGTCCAATCCATCTCCACTTCGTTTTCCTGCATATTTCTTGGGAGATTGGTTCTTTTCTTTCTTCCCATAGTTTCTTGTTGGTTCTTGTTCTTTCTGGCGGCCATCTGATCTTCAGTATAGAGCCAGCGAAGACAGTTGTTGTTGATAAAGGTGTGCAACAGGCTGTTGGAAATATTCTTTGTCACCCACCGCCAAGTTTCTGATCCATCCGTAAAGAAGAACTGACTGACTTGACGTTTGTTTGTATTGAAAATCCGAATCATTTTGTTCTTGATGCAGGCTGAGTGACAGTGGAAGATTTCCAGATTGGTTTCAGGTTGATGAATGTGTTTCTCGCCTTCCCGATTGTCGATTTGACATCCTCGTCCGTTCCTCGTGTAGTTGAGACAATGCTCCCTAGAAAGATAAGTGAATGAAGTAACCTCTTTCAAATCCCTTCCGTTGATGGTGATTGGCGTTGGATGTTGCTGCATGGTTTTCAATAGTTCTCTAGTTGATAACAATCCATGGTCTACCTAAATCTCACTTAATCACTTGACGATCGGTGTTTATGCCTCCTCTAAGTGTATATTATTTTTACAAGATTGGCAGGAGCCTGTACCTGCACACACTGTTCCAGATGAGCCATTTGAAGTTGTCGATGAGTTTGTGTATCTGGGTAGTTGTGTGAGTTCAGGCGGAGGAGTGACGTCAACTTCAACCACCTATTGTGACGTCGTAACGTTAGCCTGGCTGTCAAAGGTCGGTTTAACAATGCTTCTGTGAGGGTTGTCTTCCTCTGCGCCTGTAAATCTTGGCCTTTCCGAGCTGAGAATGTACGGTGACTCTGCGTAATCGCTGATTACTGTCTCTGAAGGATTGCTTGCGTTCGATGGCATCATCGCGTGAGTAATTCTAAGGTTCGATGGCATGTGCTTGGACACAGTGGAGATCACCATTCGTTGAGTGTTGTCATCTGGAAACACTGGCTTCTATGGCTTGGATATGTACTGCGAATGTCACCCCAGAGTCTTCCCTACAGGTGTCTGTTCGCTAGCCAGCCTTGGGACGGGATGGAAAAAGCGGAGAGGTGGTCAGCCGACAACGTGGCGTCGTGGGATGAAGGATATTTTTGTGTTGGTGTGTCACACAACTTCCTGGTTGAAGTCCGAGAGATAACTTGAGTCGGTAGCTCGAAACGTTATCGGATACGGCCAAGACTTGCAATCAATGCCGAACGTGTTGCAATTTCCTTCTATCTTCCCTTTCCGATGATATTTGACGAATGCTGTTTGAACTTGTTAAATATGACTGTTTTCCTCCCAGATGAAGTACGTTTTCCGTTCTCCGCCTATATTTTTTACTTCTTATCTCATATGTTGTTTTATTGTTATTGTGTGGCGCATCTTCTTAGCGCCCTATTGTACCAAGTTTTTTTGTGTTTAAGTATTAAAATTAAAAATAATTATTTGTTATTATTATTTTCACATTTCAGGCAAACAAATCGTTTATCAGAATTAATCACTATGGTTAATACGTGTTCAAAATCGAATTATGATGAAATGACAAATTCCACTGTTCCGCATTCATCATCATCACCATCATCATCGACTTCACCAGCATCAACCGAGGTGAATAATACACAACTGGAAGGCGGCATTAGCAGTAGTAGTAGTAGTAGTAGTAATACTACGACTACTACTACACAAGGCGCCTCTTCCTCAGTGGATTCACCACCGAATACCACCACCGCTCCTGCTGCTGCTGCTGTTGGTCTGCCAGACAACAGGCAACAGACACTTGCCTCAGCTTCTTCTTCTTCCTTCTCCGCCTCTTCATTACACTTAACTCGTGATCAAGATATCAACTACTTAATGATCAGTGTACATGATGCCTTAGATCCAGGATATTTTAGTCAGCGTCTTTCACAACTCGATCCACTTGCCTGTGAAGCAATTGATTTAGCTAGAAAAATGATTGGCATTGAACAGTGTACAACGAAAACATTTCAACAAATTGTTCAACAGAAAATTGTAAGTTTCTTTTTTCTCCTCCTCTCTACATGTGTATGTGTGTGTGGAGTTCCGATAAGAGTTTCATCCCCTTTTTTTGATAAGCGGTGTTTAGCACTCGGTTGTGATTTATGTGGCGCATTGATTTAAGCATTCTGCTTTTCTGTCTGTCTGCCTGTGTGGATTCAACGTAGAACTTGCCACCGAAGTGCAGCTGTTCGAGTTGCCACCTTCCAAATACCACACAAAGGTAGACAAGAAGATGAGTGAAGAGAATCAATAGAGTTTTGGCAAGTATATAAGAGTGAAACAGAATGAATGAGTAATGGTAGAAAGGAATATGAAAGATTACAGAGACTACTGAATACATCTGCGTAGGCCAGCCATTGACAACGATTTTGAGCCATGTCACCTATTGTCTGTCTCCAGCCTTCATTGATTGATTCTTAGAGTCCCGAGGGCGGGTCGGGCCCCAACCCGGAAGTCTGCGTCTCCCTCCCTCCCTACCTGACTGACTCACTTTAACTGTCAAGGATTTCATGGATTGATGAGGCCATGTTTTTGTTTGGCCACCACTTACTCTTTCTTACTTCCAACCTGCATCTATATCAGCTAGTAATGCCTGTCCGTCGGGGGAGTGAGGCGATGGTTAGGCATGCGCAACACGTCACCTAGCCATCTCAATCTATGTAACTGTATAGCCTCTTCGATTGATTTTCCCTCTTTGCCCAACACTCTACGCGTAACCTGACGTCAACATTACTTACCTTATTATACCACCTGCTAACTTGAGAAAGAGATCGTAGACATCTATGATCAAAAACAGTCAACTTTTTCATGTCTTCAACTCGTATTGGCCATGTTTCAGAGCCATAGAGAAGGAAGGAGCGGCGAACTGCTGAGCAGTACACACGTCCCTTGGTTGATAGCTGGATGTCACGCCTACGCCAGAGATGGTGTAAGTTAGCGAAAGCAGCTCGAGCTTTTTGGATCCGTGCTGAGATTTCGTCATTCCACTTTTAGCCAATAGGTGCCAGGTTCGATTTCCAATCTACATACTTTTGCTCGGACACAAGGTAATAACACACTAGCCTTCATGTAGTAATAGTGGCTCATGGCTCTAGTACTTTAGACTTTCTCATCTTGAAGTCATCTCCGTCCCTGTGAGGATGACAAAAATGTTGCTATTGTAACTGGGATTTACCTTCAAGCTTTTCTAGCTTCAAAGCACGTTATCATCTAATGACGTAATGGGACCATTAGTACTACCTCGTATACAAAGGACTGACTGATTCATCAACGTGGAACACTACGTCTAATCTTAGCAGTTCAAGTTATCACGTTTCCGAAATTCACTCATTTGTTAAAGTACAGTAGAGGAAATGTAATAAATTCTTCAAAGGAAAGAACACTTAAGTGAAGGCACTCTACTCGAACTCATCCAACTAGACGAGAGCCTACGGAGAGTTGTCATCTGAAGTGATGAAAATCAGTGGTGTCCATCAGAGATGACCACAGTCGCCTTTTCTGTTAAACTGCATGACTGAAATATTAATGGAATTAACCCTGACTGAGTTCAGTGACTCAAAGATTGACTTGTTACCCGGGGATAGTCTTGTTGATTTAGAATATGCGGATGACAAACGTAGAGTCTTCTGAATACCTTGAGTAGCAGCAGAAGTCTTCGAATGTTTGGTATGCGATTCGCTCCTTATGTCAACTGTAAGATGATGGGTGCTACAGGACTGGATTACACCGACCCCTAGCTGAAATATAGAGAGAGGGAATGAAATGGTTGGTGGAGCGTGTTTACCACTTCACTTATTTGTGGAGTTGCATCAGCCAGCCCCAGTAGGTTGATAGCTGACGAAATCTCAGCACGCATACGGAAATCGCTTTCGCCATTCGACAAGTTACTCCATCTCTTGTTTAGTAGACGTGATATCCGACTGGCTATGGATGAAATGATGTATGTACTGCTCAGCAGTACTTCTCTGTCCCCCCCTCCTTTATGGCTGGTTGTTAGATGTGGTCATTTAAAGTGGAACATATGAAAAGCGTCTGGCTAGCTGTCTTTGATCATAGTTGTCTGCCTTCTATCTTCTGTGTTGAGTGGTACACTAGGGGAGCAATATTGAGCTTAGGCATCGGTTGAGTGCTAGGTACAAGAGAGGGGAAATCAATCGACGAGGTTGTCAATTTACATCGATTGAGATGATTATGAAATTTTACGCATAACTGTCCATCGCCTTCCTCGACCAACGGGCAATGTTAGCTGACTGACAACGAATATATCTAGGGGTGGTGAAACGAAAACACTGCTTCATCAATCAGTGAAATCCACAACAGTTAGTTTAAGCGAGCCAGCCAGCCACATAGAGAGGTGTAGACTTTCTGACTTGTTGGGGTCTTCAGGATGGTAAAAACCATTGCAGGCTGGAGATAATTAATGATATGACTGGCTCAAAATGGTGGTTCTCTATGTCTGGTACAGATGCATTCACTCTTTGTGATTCGTCATATCCGCTAAAATTCTATTGTTCTTCCATATTTCTATTCTTTTCTCCCACTCACACTTGTGTTTATAATCTTTCTTTTGAAGCTTCCTTTAATCTCTACTCTTGTTCAGTGTGCTTGCTACATGTAGGGAAAGTGGCAAGTCGACCTGTGCAAAGTTCTACGTTGAAACCAGTCAGTCAGAATGTGATTGATAACATGGAATAAATATATCTGTGCCATTTTTATCTCCATTGCTTTGCATTTCAAACAGATTCTAGCTTTCAAGTGTTGGTTTGTAGGGATTTGTTTGGTTACAGGATTTTCATCATGAGCTGACATTAGTTAGAGAACCATTGGAAAACCTGGGAGTACTGGACAGCCTTTTCGTCCTAATTTGAGACTCTTCATCAGTACGCACCCACCGGGATTCGAACCCAGGACCTTCTGGTTACAAGGCGAGCTCGTATACCATTAAGCCACTGGGACCCGATCCAATGGCCAACCCATAAATTCTAACTTCTGCCAATTTACGACATAGCGCGACCCCTAGCCAACGCCTTCGGCGACTTTTTGTCCTCACACCCAACCTGTTGCACCCTACTGGTCACGAATTCTCACTAGAACCCCAGGTAACTACCTACCTGCATAGGGCAAGTCGCTAGTCGGCATCTCATTTATATTCAAGTGTTGGTTTGTAGGGATTTGATTGGTTACAGGATTTCATCATGAGCTGATATTAGTCAGAGAACCATTGGAAAACCTGTTACCAGAAGGTCCTGGGTTCGAATCCCGGTGGGTGCGTACTGTTGAAGAGTCCCAAACTAGGACGAAACACCTGTCCAGTACTCCCAGGTTTTCCTATGGTTCTCTAACTAATGTCAGCTCATGATGAAAGTCCTGTAAATTTTAGCTTTGTTTCTTTTTCAGTAACGGTGTTGTTGTAATTTTATCAAGCTTAAGTCGTCTTTGGCAGACCAATAACCAGCTAGTTGTGAGGTTTAAGAGTATCCGTCGTCAACAGGCATGTATGTTTGACGAGTATTCTACCTCTGTGACTGAACCGCTGACTCGAATGGGTTTTTTTTTTCTTTTGGACCCTGGCAATCTTTTGATAAGCTCATAGTATGTGTGTTGAAGAGTTTTCGTTTTGGTAATTTCTTTATAACGACGAAGACAGGTGTGAACAGGATTTCCATAGAAATAAAATAAAATAATAGGCTTTAGAACTAACTGTAGATGACAGACACAACTACGGAGAGATCGAAAAGAGAGAACAAAAGAGAGAACCAAGCCAGATGGATAACCTAGATGTTAGACTGATATATGTATATTTTTTGAACACACATAGCTGCCGACTTCTTGATGCCTATGGTGGGGTGGGTATCTTTTGCAGTGCAAACAGAGGCGGAAACACATACACATACACGCACACACACACTACCTTTTTCGTAGATTCCTATTCACTTTTTTTAAAACTGATTTTGAATGAATGAGTGTGATGAGTCGTCAGTTGACACTGTTGTTGTAACAGGTGTTTGTTACAATAGAAAAAATCCCGTGTATTATTTCTACGTGTAAATATCCGGTTGTGTGTGTGTGTGTGTATTTTTCATAGGTATTTCCCTGTATAAAGACTTATTTAAGCTATATGATCCAGTTGTAGAGTTATGTGTGGACTGAATAAAATTGATTCCCTCGAACATTAATCACTTTTATAGTCTATAGGGGTATCTCTAACTAATAGTTGAAGTGTAGCAGTTCTCTAACCGATGTCAGCTCATGATGAAATCCTGTAATCAATCAGATCAAATCCCCGTAGTAGATTGGATAATGCGACAGACAGTGGCGGGCAATCAGGAAACAGGCATAAAATGGACTCACACAAAAAACTTAGAGGATCTGGACTTCGTCGATGACGCAAATGAGGAAAAGCAACAAGTTGGCAGAAGAAGCATCCAGAGAAGATGAGACTTACTTCAGATGAACATAGGGAAAACAGATGTGGTGATGAAGATTCCTGGCCAACACCACCAACAGACAAAAACCAGCATAAATGGGAGGAACCTGAAAAAAAACAACCTCCTCTACCTGCATACCTGGGAAGCATCGTTTCAACTACAGGCTGACGAAACTGACGAGGATATCAAAGCAGTGAGGATCGGAAAAGCAAGACAAGCTTTCACTACTCTCAAGTCTGTGTGGAGGTCAACAGCCAGCACTCAGCATCAAAACGAAGATAACATCCGGATTTTCAACTCCAATGTGAAGTCAGTCAGTGCCACTAACTATACGAGTGGATCAGAGACTTGCACTGAGCGTCATAAACAGCATCTCAAACAAACTACAGACCTTCATCAACAGCCAGCTGTCTTCTCTCAATACTACTCAAGATCAGATGGCCGGTCAGAAAAGATCAGCAACACAGATCTCTGGCAATGAGCGAACCAACACAGCAGGAACCAACCGATTGTGAAACAAATAGGCAGGAAGAAATGGAGTTAGGTGGGTTGGCTGGCCATACTGTGAGGAAACAAGCCATCAAGTGAGTGACATCACTAGACAAGCCATTGCTCGAGTGGAACCCGACAGAATGGGAAGCGGCGGCGGTGAGTTGGTCGTCAGTGTGAGGGTGACATGGAGAAGGTCATGTGAAGAGGAGATGAAAACGTGTGGGTAGACACGAAGCCAGGTGAAAACTCTAAAAGAGAACTGAACGCAATGGAGACGCCCGGCTGAAGCCCTATGTTCCTCTAGGAACTAAAGGAAACAATTATATATATATATATATATATATATATATATATATATATATTAATGTCGACATTAAATTTTATATGTCTGAGATTTCACTTGAACCTTTTGTTTTCCATTTTTGTTTTCATTCGTTCATTCACTACTCTCATTCCTATTTCTTTATTTTTTTCTTCTCTGTTTCTCCCTAGAATTCATTGCTTCAAACTAAATTCACAGAGAATACTACAAATTCACAAGAATTAATTATTGCATTTAATCGTTTATGTGAAATATTGGGTATTGTCATGCAAAGTAAATTATTACTAGCGAATAATTTATCCGATCGTCAACGGTAAGTGATTATTAGCATTATCAGTTTTGTTACAATTTCTGTTGTCGTGGTTTTTTCATCTTGATGAGATCGTCATTCTTTCTTGTCAATGTACATATTGTTTTCTACGTTCTCATATTCCCATGTTCTCATTGACCATGCATATTAAAAAAAACTATCTGACTATTGTTCCATCCCATCTTATACTTGCTCCACAGTACACTTTCTGATATGATTCTAATTTGCCTTTACTGGCTGGTTGGCTATTGTATGCTTAAATTAATGGATTTATAATTGTAGAGCCTGAAGAAGAATTTATTGAAAACAACTGTTCCCTCTGAATATTTTGTTCTGAATAATAGTCATAATAAATGTGCATTACAACGCAGATTTCATTATGTGAACCGGTATAATTCAGAGACAGTGATAATCTCACAGAGGAGTAGAGACAGTTGCCTCCCATTCCAGGTTATGGACACCAGTTTTTCGACTAGGTCAAACGCTTGATTAAGATTCCAACCACTCATGAACTCTAGATGCTTACTACTTACTAGATAGAGTACTACTGGCAGCCTGTGTCATCGACAGGTACCTGTCTTCACGCTCGATTTACTGGATCCAGCTGGTCAGGACTTCTCACTAAGATATCGAGTAACTGAATCCTGTACTCACAGTCATTATTAATGAGCATAAAATTAATTCTCAAGTGTTAGTTTACAAGCATTCAATCACAAAACCACACATTAGTTTGAGTGGTTACTGGAAATCAGAGCGTATTGGAAAACTGTTTTGTCCCAGTTTTTAGAGATTTTAAGCTACCCGCGGTACTCCCGCGGTTGGTTTTCAATGCTTCCCTACTAAATGACGTGAGTTCACAATGCAACTTGAAATCAACCAAAAACAATTAAATCCTTGTATAAAACATAGACTTGGAAATTTATCTACTTTTTCTACAAGTCTGCCCACAGACTGATATCAATCATAAAAATCATTGAAAGTCACACCAGGGAGTATTGGATACCTGGCTATTTCGTCTTAGTTTGGGACTCATCGGCAGTACGTACACACAGGAGTACGAACCTAGTACCTTCCGGTGACAAGTCAAACACGTGGACCATTCACTCAATGGCCGCCAGCATATAAATTCGTGATTGTCAACGCGGAACACCAACCAATGCAACCAATTCTCGATGAGTATTTTTCCTCACTGCCGACTACTGAGTCGACCCCACTTCTCATTAGAACTCACTTCAAGCAACTTTTTCCTGTAGCCAGTTACTACTAGCCAGCCAGTATCAGATTACATTACATTTTTTCGTGTAATCACCAATGCATGTTATAAATCGTCCATACAATGAGAGAACATTTCAGTAATTAAAACATCTCAATCTGTGAATAACTTGTCTAGTTTATAAATTAGTCTAACAATGTCATTGCAGTGCATCATACACTCATCTGTTAAATCAATAAAAAAAATCAATAGATAGATGAAAAATTATTTTCGATTATGACTGTTTGTTGTTATTACGTCGTCATAAACAAAAAGCACAGGTGACTTTGACACATTTTTTTTACTTTTTGTTGTCATTGAAAAACTGTCAAGACGGTTTTAGATGACAGATAGATAGTGCAGTACAATACATACAATACAATACAATACTACTACTACTACTACTAAAATTAAAAACTTTCACATGTGCACATACTGAAATACACTATGGCGACAAACATTTAGAAGAATTAAAGGTCATTCTAACTCCTCCGTGTGTGTGTGTGTACACACAAAACAATTTACTATCACCTCTGTCCTTAACCTTCCATGGTAATCCCTATCTGATCATATTACTAAGATTGATGTTAATTATTTGTGTTATCTTGCTTCTCCGTGAATCTCTTATTATATTGATTATAATTTCAATCGGCCTTTTCAAGCCGTCACACCAGTTTGCGGCCACCAGGATGGATGTGATGACAAATACTCGATGGTGACATCGCATTGTCTGGTGGTCGAGTTAAGGTCACGAATTGGTGGAAGTTGGAATTCATGGTTAGCCATTGGAGAGGATCCCTGTGTCTGAATAGTTTACACGCAGTAACCTTCTAACCGGAAGTTGCTGGTCTATAATCTCGTTGGGTGTGCGTACTGAATTATCAAAACATTTAGCTCTAATATTATGCCTAATTAGAAATCGTTCAAATTCTAGACTAACTAATTCATATGAGATGAAAAATAAACTAAATGACATTCAACTAGGGAATGATGAAACAATGGTTAGTTTTGATATAACCAGTCGTTATACTAATATACCAGTCAGTATGGCCTTAGAAGCAGTTAAAAAAGACTAACTGCGGATCCTGAACTCAATCATCGGACAAAGCTGTCCATTGAAGAAATTATTTTAGGGATTCAGCTATGCCTCACATCTACTATCTTTAGATTCCAAGGCAAAATATATAGACAAACTGAAGGTGTAGTAATGGGATCACCAATATCCCCTATAATAGCAGATATATTTATGGATAGCTGGGAAAATATGGCTCTTAATACATTTAATCCTACTCCAAAAATATGGTGGAGATATGTGGATGACACTTTCACACACCGTGTGAAAAACAGAACATATCTCTAGCTTCTTGACACACATAAACTCACTAGTGGAGGGAATAAAATTCACATTTTAAACCGAAAATGAGCAGGGAGAATTAGCTGTGCTAGATTGTAAAATAAAACGAATAGAAGAAGGCAAACTACACACTAGTGTTTATAGAAAACCAACGCATTCTAATAGATATTTAGACTTTAATTCATCTCATCCAATACCTGTCTGTGAAGGCAGGTTCAGTTAAGTGTCTGTCTAACAAACCGAGCAGTAGCACCATGTAGCACAACAGAAGACCTAAGTGATGAAATAAAACAGATAGAAGGGGCGTTGGTGTTAAATAACTATCCTTTAAAATTCATTAGGAAGATTGAAAAAAGCCGAAAGAAAAATAAAAAGAATTGTGAAACTAGTAATAAAGACATAAATAAGAGAGAATATAAGTCATCTACAGTTAAACCATATTAAGAGGGGACATCTGAGACCCTACGCAGGATTCTAAATAAAGCAGGGAGGACAATCTCTGTAGGTTAAAGGACCCAGTTGACCCAATTACACAAAATAATATAATTTACAAAATACTCTGCAATGACTGTCAGTGAGGTCAACTACATAGGTCAAACTAGTAGGTCAGGAGTAGTCAGATTGTCAGAACATAAGAATTTAGCTAAGGTAAGAATGGTTGACCCCGAGAAGATAAGTAATTTAGAAAAAAGCTCAGCAATTGCACTGCATGCATTAACAAACAACCACACAATAGAATAGGGTGGGAGAGGGTTAAAATTCTAAAAAGTAATCTAGGTAGGTGGAGAGCGAGAGAGGTTGATTACTGAATCCTTGTTCATCGAGTGGATCTACACCCAACACATGCAATAGGAATCATTCATCACTCATACCCGAAATATGGAAAATATTACTACCAATCAAATCAAGTGAAAAACAACGGAACTATATAAATGAATTTAGGAAGTCGTGTGATTACCTTGATATGATTATGAGCAATAAATTGTTCTCGAAACGTCATCAGTAAATATTACTGTATAACACTGTGAGACTCTATCAAAATAAAATTTACCCATAATGGAATACTTACATGCGTCAAACATTTGCAACATTTGTTGACCTGAAAACGAAATTCGACTCCGTGAAACGAGAGGTACTATGGCAATGTTTGTTAGTGATGAAGGGAGTAACGATAACGCTAATCATGCCAGTCTCCTCGAATTCATGCAGCGGTGTGAGAGCTTAGTGAGAGTTGTCATCTGAAGTGATGAAAACCAGTGGTGTCCGTCAGAGATAGCCACAGTCGCCTTTTCTGTTTAACTGCATGACTGAAGTATTAATGGAATTGACCCTAACTGAATTCAGTGACTCAAGAATTGACTTGTTACCAGGGAATTCTTGTTGAATACCTTGGTCAGCAGAAGTCTTCGAATGTTTGGTATGCGACTCGCTCCTGCTGTCAAATGTAAGATGATGGGTGCAACAGGACTTGACTACATTGACTACTCCTAGGTGAAAGATAGGGAGAGAGTGAAGTGGTTTGTAGAGCGTTTTTACCACTTCACTTATTTGGTGAGTTGCATCAGCCCATCCCAACAGGTTGATCACTAACGTGATCTCAGCACGGATAGAGAAGGTTCGTGTGGCATTTGACAACTGACACCATCTCTTGCTTAGTAAACGTGATATCATACTGGCTATGGATAAAAGGATGTGTATACTGATCAACAGCAGTTCACTCTGTCCTCCTCTATGGTCGGTTGGTAAACATCGTCATTGAAAGCGGAAGATCGCCTGACTTCCATCAGCCTGTTTCCTCAGCTTTCGTATTGAACTGTCTTCCCGACTGCAGTAGTGGTGAATAAGTTTTTCTGCTGTTTCCCTAGCTTACGGGCTTTTTCAAAGGTTGGAGGGACTAGTTGCACATCCAACTTCCCCCCACCCCTCTTTCTCTGTTAACGGACATATGACCGGCGAGTAAAGGAGCGGAGATTATTATTTTGATTGGACACTAACTAACTAGTGTCATGCATCTAGTCCTTTATTTGGTGTAGACGAAATCCCATCAGTCAAGTTCGCATCGTGGTCACCATGCTAAGGTGGCTGGTCATCACAGTGCACACTGGATTGTTGTCATTAAATTACTGAAAGCAATCGACAGAAATCCGTATCAAACCTAGGTTTCGTGCTTATTGGTTGGTGTTCCCCACCAGTCAACACGACGTATCTACACCATCTTCAAAGAACTCATGCGCTTTCTGAGATTCAAACCCGTGCCATCTAGTTCTGCAGTCAGAGACGTTACCACTGAGATATTCTTGTTGGCGATCGACCTCCTGTAGGACTAACTAGTGGCATGCGTCTAGTCTTTTGTTTGGTGTGTAGATCCTACTATTAAAACACTGACACAATTAAATG